CATACTTTGGGTGTGACTTGTTTTTCTTGTACAGTAGGCTGTATCACTTTTGCTTTTTCCACAATTGTTTCTGTAGTTTTATTTTCTGTTGGTTTGCTATCATTTGCTGAGAAAGTGTGTGAAAGCAAATCCAAGTTTTTACCACCTTGGCCCACACCCACACGGCAGGTGAGTGAACCAGCCTTGGACGTATTGCCTGTTGWGGCCTCTGACCCTTTCTTAGCCGCGGACTTGCCTACGCTCTGTTTTGATGTTGACTTATTTCTAATTGCGCCAGATTTACCTTTAAGAATGTCACATTGGCGCTTGTTTGGCACAATTGTGAAGTTTCGTGTATTTTGCGCATTATTTGGAGCTTGACTTGTAGCAATTGCTGTGGTAGTTGGTCGAGCTTTTGTCTAAAAGATTGCAATTTTGATTAGCAAATWAAAAAAATATGATTGAATGATTTACCTCTTTTGGCATATTTTCCTGTTTTTTTGTGGGGTTTGGACTCCAAGACGGATCCTTTTTTACATTATCCTCATATGTGATATCGTTTACAACATTCTCTTCTGTTGCAACAGCACTTCCGGTTGCCATTTTCCACAAGGATTTATCCATATCCACATCTACAGTCTCAATATCGACAATGACATCCGATTCCGCATCGGAATCTGAGTCGATATTAGTTTTTACAGGTATTGCTGCTAAGCGTTTTGTTGGCACGGCCGTAACAGTCTGTGTTACATTATTAATAATTTGTGTATTCACTTTTGGTACAGTCAATGCTAAATCATCATTGGTTATAAATTCCGCTAAATCGAAATTATTCACATCTACATCGGAGCCGATAGTGTTCGTGCTCATGGTACGATTTTTATTGCCCGCTGCAATATCTTCTAAGGGCAACTGAAACCCTGTGTCTAAATCTATGCCATCGGCGGCTAATAGACCTACACTTAAGTCTGGAATTTCATCTACGCCTAATAGTAGGGCGTCAGGTTTTTTGTCCTCATTTATATCAACAAGCTGATTATGTATCATGTCTCTTGCAACGCCTTCCTCATCTGAACTATCATCATAGTCGCTTGTATGCGATTCATAATCACCAATCGATGAACTGTCAGTGCGCGTACGAAAGGTGGCCTCACTGTATTGACTTTGATTATCTTCGAAATCTGCATAATTCAAAATTATATTTTTGTCTTCTCTGCTTGACAAATCATTATTGTCGTTTGTATCCTCTGAATCCGAGTCTAATGAATTTGGATCCACAGTAATGATTTCGATGCCGCCATCTGCGGGCAATTGCTGCGCAAAATCATCATAAATCAGCTGAAAGTTCGCACACAACAAATTTTTACAAAATAACTTAGGCCCTGTTTTGATTTTGTTGTCTGTGCACCTACCAATTCTTTATTTTGAAAATTCGTGGTGACATCTATTTTATTTGCTATCCGAAAATTGTCTTCTGTTGCAAGCATAGCGTTATTGTAAATGTCGGCATCATGCTCAGCATCTGCAGGTATGGGCAAAATTCCATTCAATGTCTCCGTAAGTTGTCCCATTGTGCTGAATAAAATCATGTATAATTAGTTTATATATTTAGAATTTATATTTTTTTATACTTACTCGCTTTCACTCGACCAAAAATCTGTATTAAGTTGTGTGTAACTGCCGTCGAACGGATCGTCGTGAAACACATTCAAAAGCCGTGAATCCATCTTGTAGCAAATTGTAAATGAACTGAAACAGCAACAAACAATATATAATTAATATTTAAACATTCAATAATTTTTGAGATATCAATTGTTATGACTTAATTTTATACATTTCAACGTAGGATCACAAACATGTCGATATTTATTTTATTAAAAAAATTTTATTTTGACTAGAGATTATTTTATTTCGAAAGATCACGAGCAATAAAATAAATCTTATCATATGTATACATACAGAGTTGAAGAAAATAATAGAAACAAACAGCGGTGGCATAATAATTATGCTTTTTAAGAATTTAATTTTAATTTCCTAAAACTTTAAAACGTTTTACGTACAAATAACATTTTAGAAACCTGTGCCTCTCATAACTACTTTCCATACATACATACACCATTTAAACGGCAACGCTTATTATTTTTAAATTTGTTAATATTTTTTATTTTACAATACAAATCAAAAAAATTTTTACAAAAAACAAAATGGGTTTTTTCCCTCAAACAAACCTCTTTTATCGCTGTAAGATTTGTATATCTAAATTTATWTAATCAATTAAATATATTATTTTTAAATATAGCACAACCAACATATTTCTATTTCCGCATAAATATATTAGTCATGAATAAAAATGTGAATAATAACGGAAAACACGTGTTTGTTAATCGTTATCAAGATAGACCAAATTAAACCTTAAACAACACATGTCAGAAATGTTTGTTGCAGTCTAAATAAAAACAAATACCTTTAATTTCATGTGGAAAAAATTACTTTAGGGTCTAAAATTCTTGTGTTTTTTTTTTTTTTTTTTTTATATTCATAATTTATAATACAATTACGAAGGTGTTAAATTCTGTTACCCTACACCCTACTTTTCTTCCGACTTCTTGAAATCAAATAGTCAATGACACTATGAGTTAAGCCAGAAAAAGAAAACAAATATAGGCCACAAACATACATATGCATAGTTCAATAGTATTAAATGGAATGCGAGCACATAAGTTTGTGAATGCAAGCGTGGCAATACCTACTAAAGGTAATATAATCATGGGTGTTATATAGGTAGATAGAAACATATGCACATTTGTATCTTTATAATCGTTCATCACTAAGTTTGAGTTGGACTGCTTTGTTAGCGTGGTACCGGTGAATGTTCGAACCAACCATGTGCTTTTGGCGGAGGCAATAAAGCAGCTGTTCGTTCGCTTGAAGTTGTTTGTATTAAAAACTTAGCACATATTTTGCGTGTTTTTATTGACCTAAGCAAGTGGATATATCCCTGCTAATAGTTAATTTTATATATTTAATTAAACAAATAATATTATCTTTAAAAGATAAACACAAAAATACGTTTTAACTATAGCTCTATRGCGAGATTTTAAAGGTTTTTATTATTATAGCGTTGACACGTTGCATGATTTTCTATGTGATGGAGTTTCAAAATTTGTTGTAAAGTGTAGGTTTGTAAAGACATATATTTGAAAAACAATTTTTGTTTTAAGAAAACATATTGCTCAGTAAATGTATATTGTTTATTATTTCAATGAAATTATTTGCTTAAATCAAAAAAATAAATAATTTTTTAATAAAAGTTATATTTTAATAGTATTGAATATTTGGTTTTTAAAATAATTGTTTATTAGCAGTATATTCTGTATTTTTTTTTTTTTTTTTTGTTAATTTTTTCTAGAAATATAGAAATAGGAATCCCTTTAATGCCGTTACTCTTGMAGCCTCCCCCATCTTTAACATTGGTATCATTCCAAACGTGCTTTTGCTCTTCTTTTAAACGTACCTCTTTTTAAAACTCCGTTATATTGTACTTTATTCTTAATAATTACTTTTTTAGAACTATCAGTTTGGTTTACAAACTTTCTTATATTTAAAATATCCCATGCGATTGATATTAATTCAACAACGTGCTCGTCAGTGCTTTTGCTTTAGTGCTTAGCTTCCGCGCCCGCTTTTACGATTTTAACCTCACAATGCTTTCACATACCGGCGAGATATTAAAATTTCTTTTATTGAATTCACTATTTTAGGTTTTCAATTCACTTATTTGCAGCAATATATTTATTTTCAATGCTTTTATCAATTTGCTACAATCTGGATGAAACACACGGCTATTAAACGAGCAAATTCTTCACGTGGCCGCGCGACAGCAACGGTGGTTAATTCACTTGTTTTTGGATCTTTCAAACAAGGCGTTTTTGACAGTTGCTTCACTTATCTTCACACTGCACACAAACATAAATGCGCAAGGGAGACATATATGAATGTATTTACACGATTTTCCGTAGAATCTCCTGTGCTAAACTGAGGTGCAATCCCTGCCCATGTGTGTGTGCACAGAAAATCGCGAAATTGCACAATTAAACGAAATGTCAAATTTGTTTGAGATAAGCACGTGGAAAAAAAGTGTTGACAAACAAAAAAATGCGATGTCTCATGTGCATTATAATGACTGTGGTATGAACAGACTACGCAATTTATGATATACGTTATTTGGTATGTCATTTCAGAGGACTACATTTGATCATAAATAAACTACTTTCTATAAACAAACTGTTTGTACCTAAGAGAATTTGTCAGATCTAATTGTAAAATCTACGTATTTATTRACAACCTAACGAAAAGTGATTCATACAAGCAATGTTTAACAAAAATTCAAAACTGTCTATAAAATATTGATAAACGTAAAGGCGTGCATTGAACCGATTGTTTTAGTTTTTTAAATTAATTCAGCTAATTCTTAAAGTCTTACATTCAAGAAGTCAAGACAAGGTATTTATATAAAAATTCAAGTAAAAGAATATACTATATATATTTAAAACCTTTTCTATAGTATACCAGAGAACGTATATCATTTACGTTCTCAGAGTACACCATTTATAAGTGCTTACAAGCTACACATTTCTTCCACATTCTAAACAGCTGTTCGGTGCACTTCAATTGGTTTGTTATTATTGCAATAATAACCTATACATTTTGCGAAATATGGATTTGTTCAAATAAATTTTTTTTAAGGGAAATAAAAGTTTGTTAATTTGCGWAAATAAGAATGTAAAAAATGCAGCGTTTAATAATAAGTAAGTAGCTATTGAGCAGTGTCTAGGAATATCGCAAAGTTGAAGTAATGTTGAAGGTAAGGCAGACTAGTAAMAATTTCGCGATAAATTCAAATTATTAATGGATCGTTGAAATCACAAATGTATATGTATATACAAAAGTCAACAGCTGTTTGGTAAACATGTTCGGACATGTTATTGTAGAATGGCCARAAAAGTTGTTAACTTTATGCTCTTTTGTTTGTGTATGTGCAAATAAGTATTCAGAGAGTTCTCACGTCAGTGGAAAGTGCGCCCAAATGCGTATTTGATAGATACATTTGGCGCGTTTTTACAAGTATTTTTTATGAAGTGTGCTGGATTAGATCGGAGTGTATTAGTTTTGAAAATTCCACCGTGACATTGTAATAGAATTTTATAATTAAATAATATTTGTATTTGTGAAGTAATACAGCATTGAAGAAATATTTAGCATATATCAAAATATATTACTATTGTTGTAGAACGTTTGCTAGGCACTATGACCTCACTCAAGCCAATTAATGCTGCAGTTCCTAAATACGGAGTTGGCACACAGCCCTTCACCGTCCTTATCGAAGGCAATATTGGTAGTGGAAAGACAACATTCATCAAACATTTTCAAAAATTTGAAGACAAAATATGTGCAATGGCGGAGCCGGTGGAGAAGTGGCGTAATTTTAAGGGATACAATTTATTGGTAAGTAAATCCCTAATTGACTTGTGGGGGCAATGCAGTATCTATATAAACGTTATTTTAGGAACTGATGTATATTGATCCGGACCGTTGGGCAATGCCGTTTCAATCATATGTGATGCTGACAATGTTGGAGCGACATACAGAACCTACAGACAAACCAATTAAGATCCTSGAACGCTCTTTATACAGTGCAAAGTAAGTTGGCATATATGTACATAAATATATTTGATTTGCGCTGAAACAATTGATTTATTTTAAAGGTACTGCTTCGTTGAAAATTTACACAAAGGTGGCCTTATACATGATGGCATGTATGAAATWTTGAAACAATGGTATAATTATGTCGAAGACATTACACACATACAAGCCGATTTAATAGGTATGACTGTATATAATATTTCTAAAAAAAATCCCGTTAACTCTGGCGTTTGTATTTTTACAGTTTATTTGCGAACAACGCCTGAGATAGTTTATGAACGTATACGAAAACGGGCTCGTTCCGAAGAGGCATGCGTGCCACTTGAATATATCAAGCAGTTGCACGAATTTCACGAAGACTGGTTGATTCGAAAAAAATTCGGATGTAATATTAAAGTAAATATAAACATTCTTTTAATAAATTTATTAGAAAATTTTTTGTTTGTATTGCATTTCTTATCAGGTACTAGAAATTGAGGCCGATTTAGATCTCTCTGAAATCGATCGAGAGTACAAACGATCCGAAAATGTTATCACAGCTTCAATACAACAACAAAGGCCAGCAGTGACGGCATCACCCAGTAAACGCTCAGATTTTTTGGGTTAATTCAATTACCAAGCATTTTAGCGAAATTTCTCAGCATCACTAGATACATTTTATTTATATGTTTTAAAATTTCATTTTTTTTTTTATCGTAAATGTATTAATACTATTATAGACATGTAAGAATGATATGCATTTTAAGATAAAATATATATTTGACTAATATTAATAACTATTGCAAAAATCTTTGTTTGTCTCAACGAAAGTAATAGAGGTCATAATATATAGAAACTTGTAGAATGTAGTGTTGACAGTAAAAATCTGGGTCTTTTCTAATTAGGTGTYGTGGGGACGTTCTCATAATAGTCAAGTCTTCGCATCCGAAACGGTCAAGGTTCTCTCAGGARCATACCTTAAAATTATATAATTGATGTTTCTGCGGTTCCAACAACAACTTACTCTGATATCCGAAAATTACTATTCAGCTTAATAACACCTTTCACTTTGATTTAATTGTCAAGACATAATTTTGTTGAAATAAAGCAAGTGAAATTATATAAAAATATTTTAATAATTACAGTTGAAATTAAATAACATTCTTTATTTTGAAAAGTATAATGTTTAGACAAATGTTTATAGTTTCTTTTATATTAATCTCTTATCTTCTTTTGCTTAAAGTAGTTTGTTATTTATTCGGCGGAGGGCCATTCATCATGGGTGGTCGAACACCTAAAGCTCCCAAAGGCGGTGGTGGTCCCATCATTGGCCCCATCGGTCCCATAATTGGTGGCGGTCGCATACCCATCATTGGCGGTGGCATAGCTCCATGTGGGCCCATCATCATGGGCGGCATGCCTGGTGCACCCGGCATTAGGCCTGGACGCGGAGGTGGTGCCATGTTTGGAGGCGGTAACGCAACGCCCGGATTTTGTGTAATTTTACCAGCTTTAAAAGCAGCTGTAGTAGCATCGATCAAATGTTGCGCCTGCTCCTCCATCCATTTCTGATAGTAGAATTTAACGTTGTCTCTATGCTTTCGTCCGGTGCAATGTGTTTTTCGCACAGATGGAGAATCGTGTGTTAAATATGTGTCACAATAATCRCAATAATATTTCGGCATCTTTATTTGCTTTTATTTCATAGAAACCGTAAACTCTTCCTCGATACTTTAACTTATGTTTCATTTACAAAACTAYACAGAAATATTGCGAAAGAATCCACCGAAGAAAACAAATGTTTGCTAGCTGTCAAAATAGTCAAGTTGTATTCAATGGATGCTATGTTTAATGACAGGATTGCATTTTGTATTGCATTTGTGTAACCTTCTTACCTGTTCACACCAAGTTCATTAAAATTTAATATTATATCTGTTTTTTATATACATAATACTGCTGTCTATTGTACGAAAGCAATGTGTTCGATTTTTTTTTTTTATTGTCTGGGGGCCTATTCTGTAACTCGATTCGAAAAAAATTACTCGAATTCGGATTTTTTTATATTCTGTAACTCAATTTTCGGATTTTCAAGCCAATTTTCGAATAAAATATTCGTTAGCCGAGTTTCGAATAGAAACATTTACGAATCGATTTCTCCAAGTTTGTATTAAGTACTAATACTAAGTTATATACCTGTGTTTAGTAACATGGTTATGTTGTGTAATATGTAACGATTCACTTCTTTGTTTATATACATATATGTATATATTATTTACCCATAAATGAGAATTTCTTGACTTTTGTAATAAAACAATCTGCTTTCCAGATTTTTATTTTAACATTTAAGGAACACCCTGTGTTTGCACAGTGCAGAGCAACGCTGTGTCCAGTATTCCCTTTGTATGTCCAGTTTCCAGTCATTTCACTAATGTCAAAAATCTGTCATAATTGTGAAAATTATCTGCTTAAAGTATCGAAAAGTCTTTAGTCTTTGAGGCTTTTTTAATTAATTATCACAAAATATGAGTTCTTTCAGAATGCTAAACTTGTCCAGAGTAAGTCCAAATTCTGTTATTTATTTGTTACAGTTAAAATTAATTTGTTTAAAATGATTTTTGCATGTGCATTTTGTCGACATTACGTAATGTTATCACATTAATTTATGATATATATAACCATAACATTTTTTTTTTTTTGATTTTAGACTGTGGTTCGTACACTTACCACATCTGCTCCACGCCGTGCCGCTGCAAAGAATGAAGTAGAAAAAGGCTACTTCGAATTGAAGAAGGTGCAGGAGCACTTCCAAAAGCCCGATGGCAAACCAGTGTTCCTTAAGGGATCATTTGTCGATCAACTTTTGTACCGTTTAACCGTCGCTCTCAGTTTGGCCGGTATTGGTGGTATGGCGAAGTTGTTCTACGATTTGAGCGTTCCAAAAAGCCAAGATTAAATGCTTAACAACAATGGCTATCTACGCATCTGTAATTAATGTTTTAAATTAAGCTTTCAAAGTATAAAAATATATGACTAACTTGGATGTATTTGTGTATGTTTCCTGTTTTGTGGTAAGTGTAATTTATTACTATGCAACATAACTTTTTATATAATATGTGTTTTACAGTTGCAGAACGGTGGAGTAGTGCAATTCCTATTGTCTTAACTACCCATAAATGTTTTATGTTAAAAGCTAAACATTCACGTCAATGCATTTAAAACATGGAAATATATGTAATACAAATGATACAAACAGTTTTAATTTAAATAAATCGAGGGTAGGTATGGTGTTATTACAACTTTTTTTTTTTTTTGTTTTGATGCCCCAAACAGCGTATGTTAAGTTTTCTACGAAATTTGATCGCACGTCCGATTCCCTGTAATATAYCCTCGTGGCGAGCTAAGTCGATTTAGTCATATTTGTCTGCCTGTATAAGCATACATATTTTTTATACCACCCGAGTTCGATTATGGTCGGTTATGGTAATTGGAGGATCGTTCATTTTTCAAATGGTCTTGCCAAGTTCGATATAAAGAATGGTATCGCTTTCACCTTCACCTGACAAAATTAGTTTCAGATACTTAATTACTATTGGAAAACCACTTTGGATTGCACGGTATTCTTTTGTCARCTGTTAGGTATAATATTGTAGGATAGGCATTGAAATTAAGGTCACATTATTTCTAAACATTTCAAATAAATTATTGTTTTTTTGTCGCCATACTTCATTATATAAAGAATAAATCCCTGGAAAAAGATGCTCAGATTGATTTATGTAAGCAGATATATGCATATAACTTWCATAAGTATATGTATATTTCCATATTCGACGCATTTGAATCGATTGTATATGTTATTACAGCCTTCATTGTACCGYTGCAACAGCCGCAACATATTACACTTGGCGGCGAGATTTGTCAGTGGTCCAGGCAAAGTGACCAGTGGCTCCGCTTGTGGCCCAAGTCCGGGTCCATCCAAGAAGCCGAATCCTGGTTTAGAAAAAATTAAGCAAATGCAAAAACTTTTCCAAAAGGATGATGGTAAACCGATACATCTGAAGGGTGGCAGCCGAGACCTAATGCTATATCGTGCCACATGGGGACTGGCGTTACTTGGATTGCTGTTGCAAATTCATATGTTCGCAATGTATATAATTTATTGACATTTGTAATTTTTTTTTTTTTTTTGGTAAACATTAACTTATTTTACATAAATACAAAAATGAAAAAGCGAACACTCATTATGCTAGCAAACAACTCTCCTTAATTTAAAACAAAAATATTACACTTTTTTTCAATTACTGTGTGCTAACTTATCATCAGTGTCCAGTTTGTCGATAACCTGCTTTAGACAGTCTTTGGTAGAAATATGTTCCAGATCGCAAATGCGCGTCAGATCCATTGTTGCGATCTGTTCGATCATCTCCTTAATGCGTTCTTGCTTTATAATGGACTTAACTGTTTGGCGCGCTGCAGTGGCCGGACGTTTATCAACCTTTTCGGCGGAGCTTTCAACCTGGCGTCCCTTCGCMCGATAATGCTGTTCGATTAATTGGCGTATCTTTTGTTTTGTTGCCAAAGTTTTACGATTCACTCTACCTAACGCCAGATTATGCAGCTCATGGAAGTTTATATCTTTTGTTTGCTGCTCTGAAGTTTCCTCTGATTGTATGTCAGTGTCTGACTTTTGGGCTGATGGTTCAACAGCTTCGTGCACTGTAATTGGTTTTTCAGCGCTAGGAGGTTGCATTTCTGACTTATGAATTTCAATTGGTTCTTCGAGCGCTTCATCGTCTACAACTTCTAATGTCCAGTCCTCTACATAACCGTCCTCCAGCGAAGCCTTTACATCAACTTTATCGTTAAGTGCGGTTTTCAATTCTTCTACGTCTTTTGGCGTTTCAGTGTCTTTTATATCTTCTACAACTTCGTTAAGAACGATTTCCACGTCTTCGATTGCGTTTGACTTTTTACTCTTCTTTTTTGTTTTTTTCTCGCCTTTYGTCTTTATTTTAGTTTCAACATCAACAGGAGGTTTTATTCTTTTTAATATAGCTATGCATGGTTTGGTTTTAATACGAATTGGCACTAATGAGCTATACTGTATGCCAATATTATTGAAGCAATCGACAAACTCTACAATTTCAAATTCTTTCTGCAGTGTGGACCAAAGCTGCACATTGTTTTTATTTTTTGCTTCCACCAAGAGATGTGTGTAATAACGAGTCTGCTCAGCATCGTAAGTTATCGATTCGTTTTTACAATAGCTGGAAATGTAAAATAATTACAAAAATTAAATATAATTTGGTATTAAGGATTAATTTTCCACTTACTGCCAATCATCCCGGATTTGTAAAAATCTTGAGACTCCACTTTGTGCCGCTAAATTTGCTATATGTACAGATGCATTGGGCGTTTGTGCTTCCAGACGATGCAGACGAGTTAATGCCACACCACCTGGATAGTTGGTACTCGATACAACCAAAAGGAATACCGTTATAAGTATATTAATTAATAAATGGGCACCAGCACCAAGAGCCAGTATTTGGTGCCACACAGATTTCCCGCTATTGAGCCAGCTATAAAAATTAAATAAAAGTGCCTACAAAATGTTAGAACAACAAAATTGAGAGTAAAATGTTTACGTACAATCGGCAACAGGCACAAGCAGCCGCCAAATTCAGCACAGGGAACACGTAAACAATAAAGCGCAACTCTTTGTGCGGCAGTATGGAGTAGATAAGCACAAATGCCAAGGCCGCAAGCACTAGTGGACGTATACGYCGTTCCAAACAAACACCTATAGGCACCAGAAAGACTGAAGCGCCGAGTGCGCGTGGAAATGCTGAATAGAAATACCATAAGAACGGAGAAGTCTGCAAGTCAAAGAAGTAAGTTAAGAAAACCCCAAACAATAACGGCATATTTTGGAAGATTTTGTATGCGTGCAAAACGAACTGTCAAATAAAATTAACTTTTAAAGGATACACCCCAATCGGAGCTTTTATTCATGATAGTGTTGTACCACAGTACTTCACCCTCCGGCCACAAGAGACGGCGCCAGAAAAATGAGTCCAAAACAATTGTTGTGACCAAAATAGCTAAACCTGCGGGTAATGCTATTTTTAGTACGCTGTAAATGTATTAACACACATTTTTTAAACATAAAAGTTTGGATTGGATTGTACATAACGATTTGTAGAGTGTGCTTTTGAGCTTACCTGGTTATAGTAACCTTACGAAAAATCAYATCATATGCTAGCAGTAGGCCTAAGAATATTAAAAGCTCTGAACGAAATATCAATATTGCGATGCCGGAACATATTATGAAGGGTTTCGTTTGTCCTTGTAACCAAAAGGAAAGAGCATATAACACTAAAAAAAAAGAGATCAAAAAATTGTTTTATTTATTTCCAAAAATAAAATAATGTGTAATCGAACGTAGTGACACCTTACCCACAGGCAATGCTATAACATTAGGCAATGGTCGACTCATATAGAATATGAAATGAAACTGTGTCAATGTGATTATAGTAAACCAGAGGCGGACGTCAGTGCCGAACTGTTTGCTTATCACACGACGGAAATTGTGCCACGAAGCAGTTACCACAGCTGCTAACACCAAACGAACTACAGCAAATAAAAATTTAAATTAGACAACTTTTAATATATGTATACTTATTTCATACATATTTACCAACATACTGCGCCCAAAATTTATTCATGCTGAGTGTTTCAAAAAGAATCACAAACGGTGAGGACAATATGGAGATTACCAGCGGTCCGAGAAAGGTGCGCGGTACTACACCGGGGAAAWCATGATGATCATACTGTGAGAAGTTGAAGTGTATTGCAAATTACTATTACTTATTTGAAACAGCACAACAAACCTGCGTAAAGTTTTGTCTCAAATAAAGAATGTCATGCATAGCTTGTAAATTAAAACTCTCCTCCACTTTGGTGAATGGTGTGTAGAACAGATGAGCCGCAGCCGTCAGGAATACCAACGAATCCATGCTAGTCGGTAATATTTCCAATTAAAGAGATATGAACTAAAGGGTTAAAGCCAAAATAATTTGTTTAAATAGCAATCCGCAAGAAGCGTTGTTAACGATGCACGTATTGATGATCAATTAACTGAATTACATAATGGCATATTATCCACAATTTGATTCCCGAATTTTCCACAATGTTATCTACATAGAAAATTTACAATAGCATATCTTTGCCGATACGCTCCACCGTGTAAAGCGGCACCTGTGCACAACTTTGACTCCAGGAAACTTTTTTAACACTTTACTTTATGTTTCTCCTTCGATTTRTTAATCTATTGCTTCCCTGACATTTACACTAATACGCTGGCGATTAAGAATCACGCCGATGTGGTGTTTATTGCCATTTTTCCAATATACGGCCTTTATTATTCTAAATTTAGTTTTTGTCAATTCCACGTAGTTGGCGGTGTGTTGTATGTTGTGCATCATTTTGTTGTTGCTGCTATGAAACAGCTGTTTAACAGTGGGCGTAGAGTTGCCGCTCTCCAAGTATGCGAAATAACTTCGGTGGGTAAAGATGAAAGTAACTTCCTGAATCGGAAACGGAAGAATAAGGCACAGAACGAAAACTTATGAACCTTTTTATAAGRAAAGGAAATATGTATGTACATATACATTTTCAGTTTTGACGAAAATTCCAGTTATACATATTTACATTATTTACTACATTAGTGTGTGCACTTGTACGCACACATACAGATATGTATGTGTTASATGTTTTGACATAAATAGTAATATAATCAAAACTAACCTAAAAATATACATACTTATAAAGTAGTTATGGAAACAAAAATAAAAATTAAAAGTTTTAGGAATCTTCATCTTATTTATGTAAGTATCTTATTGGTCGTATGAAACCCATTGAAAAGAAAGATAAAATAACAAATTTAACAGAAAAATAATTAACCCGGGTTTTGGAGTCGATTAGTGGATAGGGAGGGCGTACTTGCAATTTTTAAGAGGTAAAAACGGTTAAACTCGTCTAATCGTTGGTATATATACACAATATACATACATATGCATACATATATACATATATGTATCATACAACATATACAGTTTTTTCTAGGTACATAGTATATATGTACGTAAATTTTATTAGCGAAACCGCAGCAGAATTAAGCAACAACATTTGATGGTCTTTTATGTTTTCTTATRAAAACTATGCTAAACGTTTGGCATCAGTATTTGAGAGGGTATTTCCCCTTTACTGAATATACCCTTTGGCTTTGATTTTCTAGGTGCCTCACTTTTACTGCGTGTGCATGTAAATATGTACAACACCGAAGTGTTAATGGTGAAGTTGTAGTGTATTTTATTGCTTAGCGCGCACATTTCGTATTTAAATGTTGCGTAACGGTGTAAGAGCGAAAATGACTTTAAAAGAATATGTCTGCAAATATGAAAACACGAAAGGACAGATACTTATATAGAGATACAWATACTTACATATTTATATACATATATGTATGTGTATGCATTTGACGTGCATTTTTCTAAACGTTTTTACACGATTTTATATATGTATGTAGATAGGAATAAATTGCAACCTTGACAATAATAAAAAAATGTTTAATTTCTTTGTGCTTTTGCCTAATATTAGTCCTCTCACGAATTCTGAATGTATTTACTTCACCGCAAGGTGAAAAATCCTCTTCGTAAATCATAATTAACTTAAACTCTTATGGTTGGCAATTCGACAGAGACAAAATTACGGACTTTATTATCATATCACCGATCAATTTAATTACGAGCAATGGCTTGTGCTGTACATATTCAACGATCGACTTATGGGAAGCGCCATGTTGCTACCGTATAAAAACATATCTTATAACTAGAAGTACACACTTTTTTTTAACAGATCATCCGGGAGTAGTGGCAAAGTGCCATGTTATTCTTGTTCAGTATTTTTTGGCATTTCATCATGGAAAGACTCACGCCTGAACAACGTTTACAAATCTTTCAATTTTATTACGAAAATTTAAGTTCTGCAAAGAATGTGTTTCACGCGCTTCGCTAAACTTATGGTTAACATAATCAGCCTACTGAGCGAACTATTCGCAACACCGTCATCCATCTTGAGTCCCACCATTCATTATTGGAGTRTATTCAATCGAATAAGACCACGTTCAGCACGCAGTGAATAAAATTTAGCAGCCATYMCTGARATTGTATGTRAATCGTRGTGAGTCGATTCGGCAATTGGACTGACGTATGGAACGACTTGRCGCATTTTAGGGTGTGGTCTTAAATTGAAAAAGGATAAAATACAGCTTTTACAAGAACTGAACAACTGGAGCTCTGGACCATCCCAAGTGACATAGCTTCGCTCTTTGGCCTCTTGGAAAATTCCAAAAAAATTCAATGTTTTTTCTTAAAAAAAAATATTGAACCACGAAATGGGTACATATGTGCGTATGCCATCTGATGAAATTTAAAATCCGCGAGGTAAAATTTTTTTTTTTTTAATTGGTACGATCGATTTTTATATACGTATGAAGTTTCATGTTCGATGTCACATAGTGTGTATTTGGCAGCTGGTCGTTTACGACAAGAGTTTATTTGAAATTTTATGTTTCGATTGTAACAAGTCTAGGAATTACAGTAGTAGCTACCTCATACTTTAAAACTTCAAAGCTCAAAGCATTTAGTGAAGGTCGTGATGTCACCGATCTGGCGCTCAAAAATTAGCCGAAATCGAAAAAACCAAAACTCGCTGAAGGCACTGAAAGCCATTCAAGCAGAGGCTTATAACAACTTTTTCCGGTTATAAACTCACCATAAAATATTTTTGTTTGCAGCAGGTCAAGTATCGTGATTGCTCTACAGGAGTCAGTTTTATACAATTCTTTTTAAACAGTAATTTTTAATTTTTACTTTATTTAGTTCTCGAAAGTTAACCACTTCTTCTTTGCTTGCAACCTCTTTTAATGAAACGTTTTTCCATGGGATCAGCAAATTATGTACCAAATACTAGAATATTCCTTCAAATCGACAAATTCCTCATATTGTCATAATTTGAAAWAGTGTGGCAACAATAATTTGTTATCTGCCGCAACGAAATCATAAAAGACTTACTGCAAATATTCTTATATCCAATAGTTCCACATGACTTAGCACCGTCAAATCGTGCATTATAATCCATAAACCATAGAAGAAGGGAATAACAAAGCACGTGTCGCAAGAAGACTGACAACATGCTAACTAAAAATAAATTTAATAAACATTCGAAATTAATTTTAAAAATTAACTTCACCACATAGTATATAAGTAAATAGTATATGTAATCGCCGCCATGCTGCCGTACAAAGCAGAGACCTATGTATGTAGGGGACAAATTGCGTCACAAGGTAAAGGGCGGTGGTTGGGTGTGTTAGAATGGTTAGTTGGTGGCAGAAAGAATTGTGTTTCATTAAATTGTATTTATAGTAAGCAATTTTATGCATCTAAAACGCGTCTATCATCAAATATCACGATGCGGAAAAAGCGTTGAACGCTCGCATCCAACAACCGCAGCCAATTTTCGGCGAGTTCAACGGGCTGACTGCCAGGCAAATGGTACGGCTCCKATGTATGGTGGCGTGTCGAATCTTCGCATCCATAGTAACTTTGAAAATCACATATGTATATGTGGAAAACTTATCTGTATTTATAATCGTATGTGTCCGACGTYTGATCGGAGCAGCTTGTGCTTTCACCATAGAGTYTCCGTATCTAACGGTTATGATGCACTTAAGCTGCTATTTCTTCCTGCTAGATTCGCYTATAATTTTATTTGATTTCACCTTTTCAAACACACACACACACATATATATATAACTATGTATTTGCTGCCAAAGAAAACACCGCAATGGGTAATGTGAAATATTGCCGAGCAACAGGCAATGCCGCCGTATCCCGCTTTTGTGGTTCATGTTTTCGTTTGGCGGGCTTTTGTCGATCTTCATCGCGCCACACTATCGGGCCCAACATATGCAGCCACAAATCAGAATTCCGTCGAAGCGTTCATTCATTCAAGTGTATCGAGCGTGAAGCCCCGTACTGAGTGGCTTTTGGCCGCCATCCTCTAGCTGCTGCTGCTGCTGCTGCTGTTGCTGTTGTATTACCGTTGTAACGGACAGAGCGCTGCCACGTCACAACTGCATGCCACATTGACGCAACGCCGCGTGCCTGCACAAGCAAACACATTTTCCCCAAGGCGGATGTTATTGAAGGTGATATTGTTGGTGGCCGCTAAGCTTGCCGCCTGCAGTCGATTGTGGTGGCTGCAATATGCGCTCACTCTCGATCTGTGCGGCTGGCGTTGCTTCGCACTATAGCCATTGCTGCCGCCGTTTAGRACGGTTTCAGCAGTTTCATGCCCTTTCGGTGGAAATTCTTTAATTGCACATGAGATTTGCAATTGTTTTCATTAGGAATTATTTTTGTGAAATATTTTATGTGCAAAAAGTAATTAAAATGTCTGCACAACTACAATTCGCTGRTTTTCTACATTCTACGCAATCTGCACAAGAATAAATGCATTTCAATAAAATATTTGTGTGCACTACATATATATATATAAGTACAATCACTATTTTTGCGGTAAATAACATATAGTATTGGAAAACACAATACAAATATATAGTACTTCTACAAATTTAATTGGTCAGTAGTTGCCAAACACACTAGKCATCTAATCAATACCGGATATTTATACCCTGAACTGRGTATATCAAGTTTGTCACGAAGTTTATAACCCCCAAAAGGGAAGGTCRGAGACCCTATAAAGTATATGTMTACGTATATAAATGATCAACGTGCCGDGTCAGTMCGCTTGGCTGTTTGGAAATACGCGAAGTACTCCCTCGGTTTAAAAGATATCGATCGCAAATTCTGCACATGTCCTTTTSTTCTCAAGAAGCTGCGCGAAATCGACCATTATACAAGTAGGATATAGGTACCATACAAAATGATCGATCAAAATGGAGTCTCTTTTGCGAAACTTGGCATAAGTTACTTTCCCCTACACCTGTATAATATTCGCACATATTATTCAGATCGGATCACAACAGTCTTTAATTACCAAATAAATGATACCATTATAAGGAAATATTTTTGATCAAATTGAAGGTGAATTTTGTTATCTTTTTAAAATCTCTATGCATTATTGCAAATCCATTTCATCTCCTTCAAAGTAATCTCCTCCCGCTGCAATACACTTATGCCAATGAATTTTCTAGTCRTCATAGCACTTCGRTTCAGCTTTTATCCGTATATCCTCAATTAAGTCAAAACGGTGTCCTCGAAGTGTTCTTTTGAGTTTGCTGAACAGCCAGAAGTCACACGGGGCCAAATCAGCCGAATGTGGTGGTTGTGGTACGATATTAGTGCAAAAAGTGGCGAAATGATCACGAATAACCAATGCAGTATGTGATGGTGCATTATCG